CAAAGAACTCACATGGCTCAACAAAAACAAAATAAACAGTCCAGACAAGAAATGGGCAGAAGAACTTAAAAGACATTTCTCCAAAGAGGAAATGCAAATGGCCAACAGGCATATGAAAAAATGTTTGTTTTCACGGGTTTTAATGGTAAGCAGGGGAAACTAGCCAGCAGGAAGACAGCAACTTGAGCCCCCTGTGAATCTCTATAGGCTCTTTCTCTTAGCTTTCTCTGATGTTCTCTCCTTCTCTCATGGTCTCTTCCTCTCTCTGTCTCTGAGTAAACCCACCCTTATAGCCCTGACCTCTAAGGTCAGGTGTGCACACACCCAAGCTCAGGTGAACATGGTCAGCCACGAGTGCCCCCCACACACCCACTCGCCTTCTACTTAACAAAATCAAGGCAAATAATAGCCAAAGAGGCTTAAAAGCCTGCCCACTTCATTTACACACCCATTGTGGATAATCTGCACAGTAGTCACTTACTCACAGACTCCAAGAAACACAGTGAGGTTAGAAAAAGAAAGCCATAAATACAATCATTACCAGTAGGTTTTATATGCCGAGTTGTAACACTTATTAGATCAGCGACTCACTTACTTTGGAATGTGAAAAGCTTTCCTGCTTCTAAAACACTATCAGCTAGTACCTAAATGATGTGCTCTTTTTTCCTGAGTCAAATTTAACTGCACTGCTTTCTCACTCACCAGGTAAATACTATACTATTCTAATAAGTGAAAATATGACTGCATGCTCGAATGATTAGCTATGAGTTTTTTAAAGTAATACTGTTAAAAAAAAATTTGGTCCTATATTTTTGTACACTTTTTGTAACACATGCCTGGAAATATATTCCTCATCAAATTATAGCGGGATTTCAGGGACTGAGGCTAAAAAGTGATACTTTTTAGAACTATTTTAATATTATACTTAGTACTGGTTTACCCTGTAGAAAGGAAAAACATATTCTACAAGGCAATAGTAAATTAGTGACCAAAAACTGTGGCAGAGACCACATGAAAGCACACAATTGCCAGATATATCGCATGTTGATGATGAAAAAATAGTCATCAGATTAGTTTTCCAAAGCTTAACAGTTTGTATCAAAGGTGACTTTTCCCAGCACATTAACAACGTCACAACAGTTAGTCTGATATTTGAAAGTTGCAATTAAAATAAGGAAGGGGTCATCCTGGTGCCCCTAAAATCTTCAAAAGGAATCATTCAAACAGCAAGTAAAAAGCAAAGAATTATAACAGCTTTCCAGTGACCCTAGGTTTCAATAAGAATTTTTGTTGTTGTTGTTAAAACATGAAATGCTGAGGGAAGGTATTTAAGTAACTTGCAACTTAAGGTTTATAAAGAGGATAATTTCTATGCAGAATGGGAACTTAGTATTTCCTTTGGAAATCAGAATACATTATACATTTTCCACTCATTGTATCTTCAGGGTCCATCAAAGAGCCATGTCTGGCCCAGTCCCCGATCTATAATTTTCTCTATTTTTAGTATAAAATCCTTAGTAAATGCCTTTGGCCACTTCATGGGCTTGGTCATGCAGGGTCTCAGTTGGACCCCATGCTCAATGTACATAAATATATTCAAAAGATGAGTGTTGCAGCAAACTGTCTAACTCTTAGCCATGGCAACTCAATGGCGTGCATGGAGACACTTACTTTCCATCTAGACCCAGATGGATCCCACTAAATCAGTACCTACTGATATTTGAAAGGATCAGTTTGCCAGCTAGATGGCAGAGACTTCCTCAACCTTTACCCAAGGATCACAAATCTGACCAGAAAACACTCGCCACAATTTGAAAGAATTATTTCACTGGAGATGGATTAAACTAGAAAACTCCTGGCCATGCAGGAGAGTGGTGGAGTTCAGTATGAAAAGCCTGGTCCCTGCATGACCACTTGGAGGAGATTCTCTGCCCTTTCACCTGCACTGAACTTCAACAAAAGCAGAACACAGGCTTTTATGTGGCAGGCTTCCTCCAGCTTAGAGACTATTTACTGGAGCATTTAGCCTACCCTGCTTAATAAACTACACCTTCCACAAATGAGTATCACAGTAAATATAAATGAGCTACCCTTTAGATTTCTAAGTACATACATATATGTATATGTAAATATATATATATATCTCCCCCTATAGTGGAAGGCATCTACCATGGCCAAGGCAGTAGGAGCTTTACAAAGCGTCTCTCAGCTGGAGTTATTCTTTGCATCTTCCTAACTCATGACTCATCCAAAGACTGTTCTAAAACCATTTCCTTGTTTGCTACTATAATTCACTTGCAAAGATGGAGCGGTTCCTACAGTAGGATAATGACCTTGGATTCCACTGAGAGGCTAGCGGTACAAAACGGAGATGAGATCACCTTGTGCTGAACTTTATAACTATGATTTCAGAATCACAGAAGTGTTAAATCATGTTAGGCCACTACCTTTGGTCTTGCTGGAAATGTTCATTGCTCTACAACATAATAAACTATTCCACAAAGCAGAGATAAGTGGAGAAAGACACACATTCAAGTAGCTGAGTGGAATTAGCCTTATCTTGTAGATACTGCAGAATTTCCTACATTTAATATTTGTGAGCGGTCTGCTACAATTCTTTGGGGATGAAAAACACAGGGAACACGTTAGAAACTTAAATTCCACTGTTTAACACACTGGAATTTTCAACCATTGTTTTCAGCTGGAAAAGAATGAAATAATAAACTTAGATGTTCTAAGTGTGGCCTTTGGAACTTGCTTTGTTGATGCTATCATGAACACACATATTAAAAGTGAAATGGAAGATGAATAGTTTACAGGAGAAAGAAATATTTTCCATCTTCACCATCTATGGTTTCAGGGCTCCCCTAAGACCTTAAAATGAAGTCTACTTGGTGGTCTCAACTCTAACCCCTGGAGAATGTACTGCACTCTCCAACACAGAACACCTGACTCTGCGGAATTTGACACTTTGCTGCAGCCTCCACACAGAAGAAACGGAGGACTTGACATGCATGGAAATTAAATTATCTTCCACCCCTAGAGACGTGCTGTCCTCCCAGGTCAGGGTTACCTTAAGGTCAAACGAAGGAACTCAAATTTCAACCAATTCCGCCCTAGCTGTGAATGGACAGAAAACACATCCTTTTGAGTTCTTGACAATCTGCTGCATTGTATGTGATCCATCAAAAATAGGAATAGCATAAACACACCAAGTAAATCACCTTAAAGGAAAAATGGTTTTGTGTTATCACACAAGGCGATTACTTTAAAAGTCCAGAGTTGCCTCAGCAGTGTGAGTTTCCCACACATTTGCAAACGCAAAAATTCTGAGATAGTTATAAAAATTCAGCTTGTGTTGGCCAAGACTTAGCCTAACTTCAGTGTAACCTTCACAGAAACCTAGCATCGGTCACTTGGTTTTGCTGATTAGAAATTCATGACCCAAAGTTAATCCGGATGACTTAGACATTCAAAACAGAGACCATAGAACCCATTGTGAAGGACTTAAACAAAATATAGAGGGTCTTAAATATGCCACAAAATCCTTTTCATCAGAATTAATTATGGGAATTTATGGATGTATGTTCAATGCATAATTACATTTACCTAATTTATATATCATATATTTTCAAAGACAATTCTCATCGAGGAAAGTGGACTGTGCAGCTTCCATTCAACACCTTCTGAGCTGACAGGTCTGGTGGTCTATTGGCTGAAACACAATAAACCTCAGCCAAACCAATAAAATAAAAAAAAAAAATACATAACCCTAGCACCATAGAGTTTTCCAGCTCATTGAAAAACATTACAATTCCCACCCAAAGTTTGGAGCATTTCATGAATTTATGCGATGACATCTAGAAATGCGGGTTCATTTCCAGTCCCTGAAGACACCCAGACTTTGAATGCAAGAGCTCTACGGTCTTCTGAATTTCCAAAGTCACCTCCTCAAGATCACCTATTCCCCTCTCCTGTACTCTGTGGGCTGCTTCGTCCAGGTCCCAGTTATCACACGAGAAGAAAGTCAAGAAAGGAGATTTTCTTCACTAGGGTTTACAGCAAGAATAATCTATTCACGTGTTCTCCACTGAGAACCAATGACTTGACTGTGCCACCCCATGGGGAGCAGCAGGAGAAACCACAAGACATGTAAACAGTTAGAACTGGGGTCACTCTTTCCAAATGTTGGGGGGACCTCCAAACTGTGAACTCGTCACCACGCTCCTGGCCCCACGCATGTTTTAATCGTCCTGCACTACATCAAAGTGTTCAACAAGAATTTCATGTCACCGGCTGCCCAGCAAGGGCACAGGGCTAGGCAACTCCTTCACTTTCTGAATTCAAGAGGTGGAGAGATGGGGATGGGATCTGGGAGGTAGGGGTGGGAGCTGGGGGAGTGGGGGCTGTGAGGGCTGAAGGGGTGTTGGGGGGACGCCTTAGAACTGGGCCACGAAAGCAGGACACGCCGTGCCACAGAGGGATGACCCAGAGAACATAAAGCCAAAGGACCCAGCTACGCCTCACCTGAGCCTGCCTACGAATGCAGTCTCTTGTAATAATCTACCCATATATTCACCTTTTTAAACCGGCACAGGAAACCAAGTGCACACGGCACGCAGGTGGGGTGATAAGAAATGCAGCAGCAGCAGGTCCCTGGCGACGAGCCCTCGGGCTTCCCCCTCGTGGCCCCTCGGCCCCCGGCTCTGCCGCACAGGCCACGCCTCACCTTCTCCGGGTCTCTGCGGGCCGCACAGTTGAGGAGACGGCTCCTGGCAGGCCAGTCCCCCACCGGTCCCCGGCCTGGCGCTGCGGGCCTGCACGCTGGGAACTCTCGGCGTCCTGCATGCACCTCTGCAGAGCGCCCGGAGCCCCGTGAGGCTGCCAGCGCCTGCACACCTGCGTCGCCTGCACACCTGCGTCCTCGCCAGAGACACAAAGCGCGTAGCGTCACGTGGGCATCACGTGGGCGCTGCACCTGCGGGATGGGGGCTCATCCGCCCGAGTGCTCTCCAGGCTGTCAGGGCCTCCCCTAATACAGCCCAGCCTTCCTCCTTGGGGCCGGTTCCCGTGCCCAGGTGACCTGGTAGGTGACACCTGGGTGAATGCAGAGTCACCGCGGCCGCACTGTGCTCCCACTCAGCCTCACAAGGGTTTCCTGGAAACCCACTTCCGATATCGGGGAAACCCTCATGCCCAAAGGTATACAAGATGAAAGCATTCTTTCTGCTTAAAATTGCCACATTCCCCTGAGAGGCAGTAAAAACGTGCTCACTAGACATAAGCACCCACCTGCAAGGTGAGTTGAGGCCTAGTCGCAGCACCTTGTGGGAGGCAGCACCCCAGAAGTCTACTGGCTGGGAGTACCCCCACTCAGTGGTCACACAAGGACACCGGGACTGATCTGGCCAAAGCACAAAAATCTTGAAAGCTCCTATTCCCAAAAGGTAGATATGTATTTTCCATGTAAAACCTTTAATGCTCATGTAAAAATCTTTAATTCGGAAGGAGAAACAGTAATATATGCTGATTTTAGAGCATGCACAGATACATACATTCATCCATAGATTTCACCTGTCTCCAGCACCACAGCACTGACCAGAGGTGACCCTCACATACTATTTTCTACGCATTTTTACAACAGGTACTATAATTATCAACAGTTTACAGGGGAAAAAAGCTGAGGCGCAGAGAAATTAGGTGATTTGCCCATGTTGCACAGCCAGTAAGTGACCCAGCTGGGATTTGAATCCACTTTTATGCGTGTTTTAACACCATGCAATATTACGCCTCAATAGCTCTAGGGTGATGGCCATGGTGTGCAGGGAGAGGTAGCAGCAAGATGGCTCTCTAAGGTCTTAGCAACAGAGATGGAGGTCCGCAGAGGTGTGGGAGTAGAGCAGGCAGGGACACAGATGTGGTTCAAGATGGTTTGTGTTATTTTCTTACATTAATAGGATCATTCTCTGCATATTCTGGGATTTTCTTTTCCTTAATTCTGGTTATTGAGGCATAACCTACACACAATTGTTTTTATGGTACAGTTCTGTGAATTTAGTCTACTATTGTATAATCACTAACACAGGAAAAATATGGAATGTTTCCATCATCCCAAAGAGTTTCCTTATGCCACTTTAAAGTCAGTCTTTCCCCAGCCCACAGGCCACAGCAACCATCAATCTGCTCTCTCTGAGATTTGCCTTTGAATGTAACAATATAGGTTGGAATTTATAGAATAGTAAAGGTGGAATGAATTCCAGAGATTTTGCAAGATACAATCTACATTAGATAACTGTGACCAATGTTTCATATGTTTATAACGGAGTTTTCACAGTACATTGGAAATGGGATCACAGAATCAATTTATACATTAGACCTTTTATATCCTTCCATTTCAAAATCTACAACAAATGCTAAATGAAAGCAGTGTGCATGCCACAACTTTTCTGGGAAAAAATCACCAAGCGTTAGAAAGAAATAACAGTTGTCAATTTACTCTCCTTCCGCTCGCTGCAAAGCTAAGAAACAGGATAATGGGAATTGGTAGAGAGCAGGGAGAAAATGAAAGAATCCTCAAAAACATGGCAAAGTAGTTTGCCTATTTTTAAAATGACTTCACTATGTTTACTATGTGGGATGGAGTCAAAACAAATTGAAGCGTATCTCTGGGCTTGCTCTCCAGCAAGCTGAAAATAGAAGAAAACAGCCAGGGGACAAAGGACTTGGAAGATTCTTGAAGGGATTTTCATCCTCATATACTCCTATTGCCAAAAAATAGAAGAGGTTTTGAATAATTTCTTCAGCACAGCACGACCATGACCCTCAAATATCAGATTTAATATTCTCATTTAGTATTTCATATGCTTCCATAAGGTTCCAACGCAGAACAAGTACATTTTTTTTCCCCTCCAGATTAATTTTGTTTGGCAAACTAAAATGTGCCCAGAGGATTCCACAAGCCATATTCATTCACACATGCATGGAGCGAAGGCTGAGCTTATTCACTAACAGGTTGATAAATTGTAACCCAGCCAGCAGCTGGTTTTCCTGGAATTGCTTTGTCGTGTATTGAAATGACAGGCACAAAATGCCTGCACTTTCTCTGTGTGTATTGCATCTAGTAGAGTATAAGATTACAGAAAATAATGCTATCTGACTTAGAAAAAAAAAATGGTTATACTTGTTTTGTGTATTCAGTTGGACTTGTTGGCTTAAGCAAGTGTAAGCTGATGGCAGACATGTCACCTGGACGTCCCTGGGAGGGATAGCAGCACCGCGGCCTCACGGATCAGCTGCAGGACAGCGTTCTGGAAGTGCATGATGAGAAAATGCAAGCATGTTGTTCGGTAATTCAGTCTCTGTTAAGAGGTACTTGAGAGCCAAAGATTCTGAGTCTGTCATTGACAGGGTGCGCTCTAAAGAGGGCACATATGAACCCAAGAAATCTAACTGTGGAATTGAGGCTGCCAGGTTTTTTAATAGGTTTTGTAATTTTGCCTCTATTATAAGAGGGTAGGTTAGAGATTAAACTGGGGAGCTAGCATTTCTCAATTTGGAAAACAGATGCCATTGAAGAGATGACTTTAAAATACTGATCTCAAGACTCAAGTAGGAACTAGATTTTGATACAGTGACTATTTGTAACAGAGGTTAACAAAGCAACAGGCTCTCTTGCTTTCTTTTTAGTTGAGGTAGTGTTTTTTTAATTTGCCATTCATTTTTAAAAGACAAATAATAGCAGTTGCCCAGAGTTCATTTTGACCACTCTACACAATTAACTCTCTAAACAGCCACAGCAGTTTATGCTCTTACTTTATATGGTATACGTGAGTCCCAGGGAGGTTCGCCGTCCAGCCGAAGAATGAGCAATTTTTTTTTAAAGATTTATTTACTTTATTTATGCTTATGAGAACTGGGGTACAGGCCAGATGTGCAGGAGGGTGAGAGGATTCACCAGAGACAGAGTGGGGAAGAGAACAGGCAGACTGAAATACACTGCTGAGGGGAGCAGCGGGCGTGACAGGAGAGGTCTGCCCCGCCATTTGGGCATCTCCCCGGCCGGCAGGGACCAAACCTGCGCTGCAGAGGTTGTGGACAGCTTCACAGCGCTGCGCTCAACCCACTGTGCTACCAGGTAGGCCCTGAATAAGCAATTTTTAAGTGAGATTACTGGAGCTAGAACCCAGGTTGTAGGTGAGCTAGTCCAGTGACATTCCATTATGCCACAGTTGTATCCTAGGTCACTTAGTCCCCGAAGGAAAATATGGCAAAAGTTACATGGAGTGAATTAAGGAGAAAGTTGGAATTTGTGAGACCCTAATGATTTCTAAAACTAGGTATTAAAAATGTTCTCTACAATACTGAAGCCATTAATGAATTGATTTATTAATACTGGACTCCCTTTATCTTGCCTTAAATCCCCCAGGTTGAGTCATGCAGAATGTCCCAGAACCTGAAACAGGATCTTTCTCAGTCGGTAAGAACCAGAAGATGGGAATGAGAAATGAGACCTTGCCTGTTGCCGAGACGGAGATCTCAAGGCTTTTGTTAGGCCCTGGGGATAATCTGGTTCCTGGCATTAAAATCGCTCATTGAAAAGAATTGAACTTTTTAAAAGAAAATAGTAGTTTTCTCTACATATTTATTAGGGATTGTGACATAGATCAATAGTTAAAATTCCCATCAATTAAATCAACCCTCAAGCACAGGGTCAGAAGAGAATTGGACTGGTTTCCAAAAGCAAACAAACCAAATATGTAGTCCTCAAGCCAAATGACATTTTGTGGCTCTAATAATTACTTGCTCTTTATCAAAGAAAGTATTTTTAGTATTCTGCACTTCAGTCCTAAGTATATTTATGGAACAATCTGACACACTTGCTGTTTGAGAGTATTTAAGATAGTGTTGGTAAAGTGGATTAGGCAAAGATATTTATGTCTTCTAATGAAAAAATTTGTATTTTGGCCTGACCAAACAATAAAAATTCCTTTCGTCAACATTTAATATTTCTCAATTTTATTAGCTTGATAAAATAAAACGTTGCTTTTGCATGTTAATGGCTGGCCCTCTCTTTAAATTGGTCTTGTATAATTTCACAGTGAAGCAATATTTATTATTATAATAGTTTGGTCTAGAATATCTGAACATGCATATAGATGAACACAGAAAAGTTCACAGATATTCTTAAGACAGATTTTTTAAAATATTGAATAGTGTATGGGAAGAAGTTTTTTTTTTTTTAACTTCATTTTGACCAACATTATATGCAAAACTCTCATTTGAAATCAGCTTTATAACTAAGATGGCGCTTTAATTCTTTCTTTCCAAATTGTCATGGCAACTTTTAATTTTGTTTGCAGTAGCTGCAGCAATGCTGCTGACCGGCTTATTTCACTGTTTAGCTTAACCCTGTAAGACCTGAAGATGCACAGACAAGCAAGATGCTCTCATCAAACAGCCACTCTGATAAAAGTTGGTCCCTGCTCAGGTGCCGGCCTCGCCACCAGCAGCGCACGGCCTGGAGTTCATTACGTATGCACAGTTAACCTCATAGCCCCTACATATCCTTCTCCAGAGCTTCACACCACTGAAATCTAAACAGCCTGGAGACCAAATCGCTTCTTTCTTTCACTAACCCCAAAACCACCTAACAGAGGTTTCTATTCTGGGATGGCAATTAAACATCTGTTAGGTAGATTTGGTGAATACATTCTGATATTTTCTACCTGATTTCAATAAAACAGATCTCAGCCAGAAGTGCAGGGAATGTAGCCATCTTCAGAGTCACTGGGTTATGACAAGCAGCACATGGAATCCCAAATGCTGCAGCCCTCCTGACACTCCATCTTTTGGCAACTTCACCTTTTGGTGAGAGTAAGTCAGCGTGATCGATGGTCATAAACAGGAGTTATGTGATCTCTGGCCTTAGTGTGATACAAAACATTTTTTGGAAAAACACTGTCTTGTATAATCCATCATGAAACAATCTTTCCATTGATCTGTTGTGACTCCAGTCCTCCCGCACCAGCAGAAATGTGCTTCGGATCATGTTATCCCAGCTCAGATGAAATTCTGCATTTGGCAACCTACCGCCCATTGCCAGCTGGAACGCGGTCTCCTTTCAGCTAACAACACACATTTCAAATCCAGGACCAAATACAGGCCGAGGCATTTGCTGACCGCGGAGCGTGCGTGTGAGCACACAGATGTGGACATGCCGCTACAGACACAGGGGCGCTGGCAGGCAGGACGAGGTGGGGGGCTCACGCTGGCTGCCACGCTGGGTTCCAGAGGTGGTCCAATCATCTCTGTCCCACCAGCAAATGCAAAAGCTGTCACTTGCAGTGTCAAAGTTAGAGTTCTGTTTGGCTTTTATTTTTGGTGGTTGTTTTTTTTTTTTTTTTTTTTTTTCAGTAGCCACATCACTCATCAAGAAATCATTTTCTTACAATGTTTGTGCAGGTGAAAACCAGCAGGAGAAGGAACTTGGCAATTCAGAAAAGAGAAAACCAGCTACTGCCCCTTGAATTGCTTTTTGGCAGAGTAAAATGCGCTCATTGGGCTGTGGATTCACAACCTTGGAGAAGGCAACTGTGGGTGTGCAACTACTTTGATTATTTAAAATACAGATTGGTCTACCCTTTCCTCTTTCTCTCCCTCCCTCTCTCCCAGTTTCCAATTGCATACAGTGAACAATCTGTTTGCAATAATAATAGGCATAAAAATTCCCCCACATCCTACCCCCCGCCCCAGCTAAATGAATGCTGATAGTAGATCTGCAGTGTTTACTCTGCACCTGAATTCCACTGTGGTGAGTATTTGGGAGTTCCATATTCCAAGAGAAGATTCCAAATGGCATTCTGGCAGATGACAAAGAATACAAGCGTAGTTCGTTTTTATATTAATTTATAGGCAGCCATGTCCTAAGCCCCGAGGGCATCTTAGAAAAATCAGAAAAAAGAAAAATAACTACAAACACATCCAAGAGAAACATATTCAAATAACAAAGATCAAGAGCTCAAAATAAATAGTTCTGTAACAAATACCACAAACTACACAAAAAAAAAGCAAAACTTTAAATTACTCAGAACCCTTGAGACTGAAGATGTGACTAACCAATTAACAGTTGCAAAGTATTTTGGAGCTATAAAGTTTTAAGTCAACGAGATTTTTATGAGTTTGTAATAATGATTCACAAGAAGGAATCCTCCCCACAGACCCTCTCCTGGTTGCAGCCAGCAGGGATCACTCCAAAGCTGAAGCTTTTCCCAGCAACTGAGTCAGGACCAAGAGCACAGTGTCCATCACTTGATTTATTCCACACATGTTTCAAAATAAACAACAAAAAAATCAAAAGACAGCTTCTACCAAGCAAACTGAAGGATTTCTTCCTTAATACAAAGAAATAACTGGTCTTTTAAAAGGGGGAATTTAAAGAATAAAGGTCACATTAGATGAAGAGAAGATTTTTTTAAATCTATTGAATTTAATCTGTTGAGGTTTTTAACTTATTTTTTAATCTATTGAGTTTATTAGATAGTTAACCACATTACTGATATCCCTGAGAAGGGTAGGGAGGCACTTTGCAATGGTATAAATCATCCTAATCCCAGAATATGCCTACATGGAATATTAGATTCAAACTCAATTTGTGGTGTTAATGCCTGGATTTAAATGTTTGGGTTCTGTACAAAGTCAAAGAAAACTTCAGCAAATAAATGACTAACAGTTTTGATGTATGGTTACATTATGAAAATAGCTGATTCTGTCTTCTCATACATCTGGGTTCTGAAACCAGGACAGTCTAAAAAGAAGTTTAGAAATCAGAAAATGGGGTATAGGGTGGACCCCAGAAGTTGGCTCTGTCATCTGTACCACACCTGAGGCACACCTGGGAACTATAGCTGAGACAAATTTTAGGTTACACCTAGAGTCAGATACTGAGACCTTTATCCAGGGGCAACCACCATGTGCAGACCATACAGCGACTATTTTAACAAGCTTCACCTTCTTTGCATGACTGAAATCTGAAGGTGAGAGTAAGAGGGAAATAAAACTGTGGCATCAGCAAATATGTTCAATATTTTAACTGAAATGACCAGGATCTCTGCCAATACTGAGAAACATATTCAGATTTTTATCCTCTTTAAATTTAACTTTAATTATCACATACTTATAAATGACATTGTCAAAAAAAAAAAAAATGACGTCCTCAAAATTGTTCTCGAACTTATATTTAAGCAGAAGAGTGATGTTTGCAACATTCTTTTTCATGAACTCAAGCAAAATGTCAGAATTTTCTCTCTCACACAGATAAAAATGGAACTGGCCTTAGGGAAGCAAGACCAAGGGCCTAGGGTTCGCTGCTTCTGCCTACTCTTCCTCATATCATATCATGATTTTTGTTTACTTATTTTAGTCCCCCCTTACCAACACAGGCTCCGTGAAGGCAGAAACTATGCCTACCACATTTCTTCTCATATGCTGACTACCAGACCAGGTGCCTGACCACAGTTATAATAAATAAACTTGGAAGAAAAAAGGGAGGGAGGACGAGAGTGGGAAGCAGCAAGAGAAAATAACCAGAAGTTTAGAACTTAAAAAGTACGTCACAGTCAACAAGAAATAAGAAGAAACATGGAGCTCTTTGAGCCTGGGTAAGTAGCAGAGTCTGGTGGTTACTGAAAAGCAGGCGCCAGGCACATCCAAACAGAAGCTGGCCGCTCCTGTCCACCTCCAGGGAAGAACGGCAAGAAAAAGGCAAGCACCACAGGGCACAGGGAGTGAAACCAGTCACAGCTTGACAAACTCTTTGTTTAATTTGCACTTTATTGCACCACTTGTGACTCTGTTGACTTTTACCCAATTTGCAGAGCAGACCTGAGTGAGACCCCCATCACTTTCGTATGTATTAGAAGCCCTCCCAACTCCAGGCAGCCTGGAAGGAGTTCAAGGACTTCTTGAGTCTGCGTCTCCCAGGCTGCTGTCCTAAGCCCCTACATACCTTTTCTCTGTTCCAGTTCCTGGGCTAACATCACACAGGGGTATTATTAGTATTTGTGTCAGGTGTTCTGGGCAGTAAAAGGCATAAGTTGTGCCTAGGGTGTGCTTTTATTAGGCAAGAGTGAAGAAAGGCCTACAAAGGTGCTTCATAAGCCCTCGCCCCCCCTTTCTAGATTAGGACATCCAGCACATTTTACTTCATTGTCTCAGCATATGAGCACCCTCTCAGAGGTCACAGCACCTCACAGTCACAACACCTCAAAAGTGATGGCGCTTTCTTATGTAAATGTGCATCCTTGACACTTTGCACAGTGTTTAGGACATAGTAAGCACTCAAGAAATACTTGTTGAATGAGTGATCTTTTTATGTACTTATAGGGACCTTTGTGGAAAAGATAATATTTAACTACAATTTTTAATCTGGGAATTTATCAGTGTATACTTTGATTCTCCTTGTACAGGAAAGCATGATTAGCAAATTTGATATTAAATAGGTTAAA